ATAAGATATTGAATTGAGAAAAAATAATTTTTATTCTCCATAATAGGAATTTATTCAGAAAGAGTTTTTTTTAATGAATTCGATAAATATCACATTTATATATTTGAAAAAAATATTATATAAAAAATATTAAAATACATCTATTATTTTTTAAAAAATATAATGATTAAAAACTAATTTCTATAATTTAATCATTTCTTGAATTTTTCTTTTTTTAGTAATTCGACGAGCCAGTTTTCTCGGAATAATTTCAATTATTGATTTCAAATATCTATATTATTATCAATTTCGAAATTATTTCGAGAATAAGCTCCTTAATCGGAATAAATATATTCATAATTTGATATTTAGTTTTCTTATCTAGGATTTCATTCTTAGGTGATATCGTTATAGATCTTATCAAATTTTTCTATTGAATAAGAAGATTTCAAGAATCTATATTATCTTTCTCAGTGTCTTATCTAAGAAATCTCGAAAATTTATTCATATTTCTGAAGAAAAAAATCTTTAATACCATCTAATATCTTCTCAGAAAATTAAGAAGAAAAAATAAATAATATTCAATTTTCAAATAATCACGTTATTATATTTTCAATGATGGCAAAATAAAGATGAATTAAATTATATTTCATATAAAAGTCATCATCCATCTTTATTTTTCTTATTATGTATCTATGAATATCAATTTATCATTTTATTTTCTTCGTAGTTTATCGAAAAAAATCCCGAATCGAATATGGCTATGCCAAGATTATTTTCTTCATATTTTACCATGAAAAATATCCAGATTCGAATAGGGATATGCCAAGATCAAACCTCAAACCGAAGGAGAACATACCTTCTGAAATCTTTCGCTTTTCATTTAAGTGATTCAGCCCGAAGTTCGTCCATGTTCTCTGTGCCCTTTGATTGTGCAATTTTCCCTAGACCCAAGATGCCGCAAGTTCAAGCCATCCTATACCTGCCGAGGTCCCAGGCGATCATCCCTAAACCCTTTTCAGCACGGACTGAGGCGCTGGCCAGCGCCCATGCAACCCTTATCCCGTCTTAAGGCAAGAGCGCACAGCAAAAGCTGTTGATGACAACTGACGGAAGCTTCATCCCTAAACCCTAAACCCCTAACCCTTAAACCTCATTCCTGAAGCTCGGACCCACAACCTAGATGCTCACACGAAGCTGACTGTATCTACGGAAAGCTCAATCGGCTGGCCCGTCTCGAGTACGGACCATTCTTTGCGTGCGGCCTGGAAGCAGGGAAAAGAAGTTGTGAGGTTTTAAGGACGGGGTAGATGAATTGGAGCAAGCTACACAAGATAGATGCGACTCGGCCACTTGAAGCACGGGTTTAACTCGAGAGTTTGACGGCGGAAGTGGTTTATACTTGCATGTGGTCGGGTTCATGACATCTTACAGGTTGCCGCCACTTGTTGTGGAATGGTTTGGTTTCCAGAGATTACGAGTATCCGAGATCCAAATCCTCAAGCCGAATCCCCAGATCCCTGATCTGGAACATGAATGATTCAACACTTCAGACGAGGGTCCTTTTCATAGAGGTGCCGTACTATTTTGCGACCGAAATTGGGACCTTAATTTAGAGAGCCACCCATTTACAGCTGCAACAACTAAATGCAGCTCATGCCTCCCAAAGGCGAAGCGCAAGAGCTTCCGGACCATCTGAGGTGCAACATGTTCATTCTTTTTTGGGGGTTCTGGGAAGCTTCATGGGTGGTCTCTCCAGAATCAGGATTTAGGGTTTCAACACTCGGTTCAGGTCCGTTCTTGCTTCCTTGATATGCCAGGTTGCAGGTCCCCCTTTTCAACGGTGGTGGAATACTGCTCTCTGAGACTTCCGCCAAAGCTTCCAACTCTGAGAACCTATTGCAGTTGCAACACCTCCCAGAATATCATAGAGGTCTCTTCCAAAGCCTACTTTCCAGCACCTCAGGCTCACTGAGCTATGCATAACAGCAGCCCATAGAACCCATGGCCCATAACCCCGGCTCGGGGCGCTCTAGTGGTTGCCTTGTAATCATTGCATACTATCGAGAAGCTTAAGGAAGACATTTGGGAAGGCGAGATCCGAATGGGCCGTGTTAGCATGCACCCTCAGTGAACATGAACTGTACTTGTGTAAGTCATAGTTTCCAGAACGCTTCATGGGCATATGAAACAGGAACACCTCCCAAGAAGCAGCATCTTCCCGTACGGTAAAATTGTAATTACATCACCGGGACAAAAGTTTCGACATACGGAGGATATTGTCAATATACCAAGAACATATGCGGCGGAGAAGCGGAATGGCCGCAGGTCCGTTTTGCGTGACCAGCGTGGCGAAGTAGTTAATTTCCCGGAATAAAATTATACTGCTATGTAATTCTCGGCGGAGTTCCTTCGGGATCTTGTGTGAGGAGTGTAAGGGGGAAAGGGGGTTGCAGCCGCTCATATGTCGAGTTTGAGGCCGTGTGGCGAACTTTTGTCCTGCAGTAGTATTTCGAAAGCCAGGATCTCACCACATGACGAATCAACTCCTAACAAAAAAACCCTCGGCTAGAGCCCCGCGGGGCCTGGCCGCAGCGCCTGCGTGCCAGCAACTGTGAATGGCGCCGCCAAAGCTCCACGTGCCAACCACGGACGGGAGCAGCAGAAGCCCACGGCGGCCACAGACAGGCCTGGTCTGAAGGCCATTCGAAAAAATAGTATCCTGAACCAGGACGTCAGAGGGTTTCAGTGAGTCTCTAGGTCCATGCGTGCAATGCTATCGAACTACTGGGGATACTTGCCTGTTGCTGTGGTTTGAGACCACATTCCAGCTTGAAGTGGCTCGGTTCAAGGATGCTTTGAATTGCGGGTTTTCATCAACGAGAAATGCATGCAGCACTCCGCTATATTCTGAGATCAGTATCGAGCAATCGATATCAAGCCAGAGCATGATATGGTATAGTCTTTGCCATCATAGAGAACTAGTATCTTCAAGTCCACATCTGTGCTGCTGTTCACCTGTGTCAGTATTGGGGTGGATGAATCGTAGTGTGACCTCTGTGATCTTTTTGACCTGTACTTTTCTGTGCAACGCGTAAACTCGTGAAACTTCCCGGTGCTCGGACTGTGGTTTCAGGCAAGATGGGCTTTGGCAGGCTGCGGGGTTTCTGTTCAGCCGGGACTGCGGTTTCGTGGCAAGTCCGGCTTGTGCGGCTTTTGCAGTTTAGCCCTAGTTTCGTCCATGTTCGGTTCTGGGACTGTGGTTTCGTGGACACGACGGGCTTTGGCAGGCTGCGCGGCTCTTGTTAAGCAATGGTTTCGTCCATTTTCTTTGCTGGGACTGGCTTCGTGGCCAAGACGAGCTTTGGCGGGCTGTTTGGTTTGTGGTTAGCCATAGTTTCGTCAATTTTCCATGCTGGGACAGCGATTTCATGCGCAAAAGAGGTTTTGGCAGACTGCGCCGTTTCTGTTTAGCAATGGTTTAGTCCTTTTTAGCGAAATCGGGCTTTGGCAGGCTGCGTGGGTTTTGTTTATCAATGGTTTCGTTCATGTTCGTTTTGGGACTGTGGTTTCGTGGCCAAAACGATTCTGGCAGGCTGAAAGATTTTTGTTGGCCATGTTTTCGTCAGTTTTCGGTGATGGCACTGTAGTTTCGTGGCCAAGGCGGTGCTGAGTGGTTGTTGTTGTTTGGCCATGTTTTCGTCCATTTTCGGTGCTGGGAGGAAAAGTACTAGTACTAGTGCCAGTGCTAGCACTTGTACTAGCAGTTACCAAGACAAATACTACTAACAGCAAAAAGTAGTAGTAGTAGTAGTAGTAGTAGTAGTAGTAGTTGTGGTTGTAGTAGTAGTAGTAGTAGTAGTAGTTGTGGTTGTAGTAGTAGTAGTAGTAGTAGTAGTAGTAGTCGTAGTAGTTGTTGTTGTCGTAGTTGTTGTTGTTGTTGTTGTTGTTGTTGTTGTTGATGTTGTTGTTGTAGTAGTATTCGTAGTAGTAGTAGTAGTAGTAGTAGTCGTCGTCGTCGTCGTCGTCGTCGTAGTAGTAATAGTCGTAGTAGTAGTAATAGTCGTAGTGGT